ATCAGTTTATCTCAATTGAACATCTCCACTCCAAATCCATCCTGGAAGTAGAAATTCCCTTTGTCAAAGTACTGTCCTGGTCACAACCCAACCGTGGCTCTCCCCTGATGAAAGAATAAAGTCCAAACTCCTGACATTCAAAGCCCTCCATCCAGATCCAACCAATCTTTCCAAATTTACTTTATAGAAGCATACACTCTGACCTTCTACTGTACTTCTACTGTACTTCTACTGTAGTGATATACTCAAACTGACCTATTGCTGCTTCTCAGCCTGTTCTTCCTTTCTTCCACCATTTCCTCACCTTCCTTTCCTATGTAGGCTCTCTTATCACTGTGTTTCTTCCACTCTTTCTTCACCTTCCTTTCTTTTTTAAAATATTTTTTTAGTTGTAGATGAACACACAGTATCTTTGTTTTTATATGGTGCTGAGGATCAAACCCAGTGCCTCACACGTTGGAGGCAAATGCTTTACCACTGAGTTATAGCCCTAGGCCTCACCTTCCTTTCTTATCACTAGCTAACTACCTGGGATTATTCTACATAACTATGATTCATCCTTTTTCTAATCCCATTTAGGTAGTACTCTGAGAAATTATTTTTATATCATATATTTAATACTCAATGCTAATACACAAAATAATCTTTTAAAGTGTATGATGTAATTTTAATTTAAAATAATCCCAGCCAGATTATAAACTTTTCAAGGATGAAAACAAAACTCTATACTTCTTTGTATTCCCACAGTAGCTAACACAATGTTTTGTGCAAAGAAAACACTCAGTAAATATTGCCTAGTTATTTAAACATTATTAGATGAGTAAGTAGAAATAAATTAAGGGTATTACACTTAACCAGAAAAAAGTACCCATGAAAGACAATATAAAGTAAAAGCTTCTAAACCTCTGTGTCTCCTCTTCCCACATTTCCTGGCCCATTAAATTCATTCATATTTTAAATGTACTACATTTTAAACATCAAAAAATTCATGAATAAATGCTGTCAAAAACATTAAAAATATAAACAGCTGAACAGATGGACAGATGGATGGATGGATGAATGTTGGTGAACTGGTTGGAAAGATACACAGTTTTCTCTAGATGTTTAGAAAGTATCAGCCTAAGCACTGCTACATATATATCTAGCAATTAGATGTCATTATCCCTGTTTATTGTTAAAGGAAACTAAGGAAAAAACTGTTTATTAAAAAATAAAAAGTTGCCTAAGGTCATACCTAGTAAATACAGAAGGCAGAATTTGAATTCCAGTGGTTTAACCCCAAAGCAGATGGTATTAGACTCACATGCTTCTGAAATCTAAACTAAGTAAATTTTTAGTTATTTTTAATTAACATCTGAAGCACTTTACCCTTCTTGTATAATTTTATTCTGAATATTCCAATTATATATTCTTAGATACTCATTCATTCAGAACTAGTTATCTTTAATTTTTCCTTTATTTCCACTTGTAGAGTTGGAGACATCTAATTATCAGGTAACAACCCGAGAAAGGAAGGAGAGAGAGAAAAGAATGTGGATCAGGTAATACTCTAATCAACTCATATGACCCATTCTAGGATATCTGACAGCAAAATGGTTGAGGAAGTAGTTAAAGCTACTGGCCCTTAAGACTTAGAGGTTCACTATGGTTTTTATACAGTAAATTTTTTTGTTGGGTATTAAATATAGATGCATTCTCCAGCATGTTGTGTTTTATTCTAATTAGCCTAGATGATCAACATTTAACTATATCCTTAAACAGAAAATGGTGAAATAAAACAAACATGTCACTGTCCATTCATTTCAAGGCCTAGAGAAGTATGAGATCCAAATATGACCTTCCAGCTCTGGCAAGAGAAGCCGTATCAGACACATCACACACAATTAGAGCTGCTTTGCTACAAAAGTAGGTATTAAGGACAGCCTTAAGGGAAAACAAGATAAGGAACTTTAACAATATGTATTTAACCCACTATACATCTAGAATGTTTCAGGGAATGCAGAGTAATTTATATATGCTCTTAAAATCTACCATGTAACATTTCATATACCCTAACTTCCCGGAGAAATAAATAGAAGAGCCTCATATACAAGAACATGAATTTTTATAAATTGTAATTGTCTATAAAAACTAAAGAAAGGTTTTTGCCACCAACCCAAATTTCCCCTACACACACACACACACACACACACACACACACACACTAAGCAATCTTGTTTAGGGAATAACTAAAGTTCTGTTATCTTGAATTTTTTTCTATGCTTCCTCCACCACTCCCTCCCTTCCTTATAGCTATTTGCTTTAAATTTCTCACTTGCATTTGCTGGTAACATATTATCATAAACAGCTCCAGGAGAACATGAGAATCCAATTGTTTCCATGAATCATTGCACAGAATTGTTTCAGTTATCATTATAAAAGACAAGTATGACTACCCACTGTCTTGCATACTAAAAGATTCTTTACCAAGTATCTATTTGCACACCTATCAAGTTACAGAATGTCTAGTTTTCCCAAGCTATGGTGTTTGTTATGAGAAAAAAAAAATCTGCATTATTTATCCACTGGTATTCTTCTTCTCATATAAGCACTTTCTCACAATTTCCCAAAATTGAGAGTCCTCTAAAAAATGTACACATAATTATTATGCCTAATATATTATATATTTAGATTTCTTCAAAGATAAATTTTTATTTGCATCAACTGTGCCTTGAGCTGGAAAACTGCTACTAATCTTATAACAGAATCTAATGACAGAAAGAAAAGTGTGATGGAACGGTTTGGAGTAGGGATTTAAATATCAGTCTACTCATTTACTAAGTCTGTGAGCTTGAGAAGTGGCTTAACTTATTGAACCTCCATGTCCCCATCCATAAAATTAGAGACAATGCATCTACCTTGATGAGTCACTTCAAAGATTAAATTATGTATGTGCAAGTACCCAGTATTTGGTAGGCATGTAGCAAATGTCTTTAATGAAAAACATGAAACTCCT